TCATTTACAGTAAGATAAACTTGGCTTACTGGTACTTACATTTTTGAAAACATTTTTAGCTTAAGTATTCTCTACTAGATGAACAATAACTATTAGACTTTACATTTACTATAATGCAAAAGTGAATTAAAATTTGTATTGATGTCCGACCAATGTGGCTCAGTGGTTGAGCATCAACCCATGCACCAGGAGGTCACCGGTTTGATTCCCAGTCGGGACACATGCCCAGGTTGTGGGCCAAATCCCCAGTGGGGGGCGGCCAGGAGGCGGCCAGTTGATGTTCTCCGTCATCAGTGTTTCTCTCTCTCTCTCCCTCTTATTTCCTCTCTTTCTCTCTCAAATCCATAAAGGAAAAAAAAATTTGCATTTACTGTAATGCAGAAAAGCTAACTTTATTTTTTACTAGTACATCCATATCAAAGAAGAATTAATAACAGTTGTTATAATATTTAGGATTTTTCATTCAGAATTTGACCAAACATTTCTACATTGTGGGATTTAGCCTATGGTTATATCAACATACATGTACAATGTTGTTTCATTCACTCATGTGTGTTATAGCAAAAGATTGGAAACAAATTAAATATCTGTTAAAATGGAATGTTTAACCCTAGCCAGTTTGGCTCAGCGGTTAGAGCATAGGCCGGCGGACCAAAGAGTTGCAGGTTCAATTCCGGTCAAGGGCATGTACCTTGGTTGTGGTTCGTCCCTGGCCCTGGTGTGGTCATGCAGGAGGCAAACAGTCTATGTGTCTCTTTCACATTGATTTCTCTCTCTCTCTGTGTCCCTCTTTCTCCCTCCCTCCCACTCTATCTGAAAATAAATGGAAAAATATCCTCAGGTGAGGATAAAGAAAAATGGGATGTTTAAATAAGGGTACAATAAGATTGATCTATATAAACGCAGGATGTACTAATGTAGGGAAACCTCTATAAGGTATCACTAAGTGAGAAGTGCAAGTGAAAAGCTGCATCTACATTATGATCCTATTTAAGTAAATAAAATAATGTGAAAATAATTTGCATATACACACAGGGTTGGGCAAAAGTAGGTTTACATTGTAAGTACACAAAACGGAGTTTATTCTTATATTATTACTTATTAATTATTGTGTTATTTTCCATATGAATAACTGCAAACCTACTTTTGCCCCATCCTGTGTATATGTGTATATGCAGGCATTTCCATACAGTATATTTTTGGAAAACTACGCCCTGAACAGTGTTTCCCCAAAATGATACAGGTTGCTTTGGGGAAAAGAGAATAAGACTGCATGGTGTGCCTTACTTATATTTTAAAGCTGGTGCAATCTTTATAACAGAGTCAGAGCAAGAGACAAAAAGAAAATTGAATTATATGTTAGTTTATTGATACAAAGCTGTCAAGTAAAATTTTATTTAACCCAAACTGAAACTGGAATAAAAATATTTCAAGGAGAGATGTTCTCAGAAAGTAAGTCATATTTGAACATGACAAGAACTAATAATATAATCAATCACATCAATGATCTGAAAGGAGAGAATAAAATAATTATCTCCGTAGATGCAAAAATAATATTTGATGAAGATTAGCCTCTATTTATATTTAAAAATTAAAAACCTCATAAGTGATGTAATGGAAGGGATGATAATTCTTTGTGGAAAGCAACAAGTTATGCATTTATAATAGGCTAGTGTGCAAAAACCAAACAGAAAAACACAGTTTATATAGAGTAAAATAGACAAGCATGAAAGAGACTTATTCCATATAACTTTTTATATGAAAATCACACACTCAACAGCAGTATATGTTTTCTGAGGCCATAGATTTGTGAGGTGATTGAAATGACATAAAGTGTATATATTACAGAGGGTCCAGTGAGAGAAGGGGGAGGGACACTGAGAAGATGGGTTGAAAGAGGCAAATAAGAAAATAAAATGAACAAAACAAAAATAGAGGTGTGCCCTGATCAATGACGATAGAATATCAAGATCTGACAAGTGCGATCAGAGAGATTCTCTGCACTATATAAATAAGGTCACAATGTAACATGTCCTGAAATGAGCAGAGGTCTGCAGCATAAACTAGAAGTGTTTTGTTTGGGGACTGGAAGTGGCTGGAATCCACACGGTAGGGACACACAGAAGCTGTGCAAAGACACCGACACTTCTGTTCTACCACTTACCACTTCTCAGACCTCAGCAGAATCACTCAGCCACACCGCCTCTTAGGCTTCTTAGTCTGAAATATAGGACAATGACATTTACCTCCCTGGGTTTTGTGCAGAATCAATTAGATAATATGGGATTTGTGAATAGTGTGAATGCCCAGCACAAATTGTGTTTTAACAAATAGTTGTTCTCTTTTCCTCCATCGGTGCACCTCCCCCCAGTAATTTTATAGTTGATGCACACACATCCTGTTGGAAGGGACGCTTAGAAAAAACTGTAACTACTTCTATAAATTACTACTCTCTTGATACCCACTGAATTTTTTAGAAAAATCTTCCAGTTTTCACTCCTAGCTCTAAATTACACAGTCCGTGATAAAGCTACTTGTGATGGCTAACCAGGCCAATCAAAAAGAGGAAAATGCAGAACTGTTATGAAGAATCGCACATTAACTTATTCAGTCAGCGTAACCTTGTAAATAATGCTTGATGAAACTATTAGTTCTGTCATAAAATAAAGACTGATAAATGTTGGTGTAACTTCATTTTAGCTTTGCAGTCATAGCAAGTATATTATCATCTATATATGTTTTATAATTAACGATGGTGCTGCTATTTTCTTCCATAATTGAAGCATTTATTGAGATCACCCACTGTTTGACTGATGAGCTTCATCCTCTATACTTTTTCCCTGTTGTGCCCCCACTGTTATGATGCTCAAAATTTATAGTTTAGATTCTTCTTGTTGCTGTTTTACATTTCTACTTACTGTTTATTCATAGGCTACGGATAAGAGAAATCTGTTAGAGTGAGCTTTTACATAGATGATTAGCAATGGTACTCTGAGAATAACCACCCCTTTCTTGATACTATTGATGCATTTCAACAAGGCACATGCAACACTGCCTGATGTCACAGTGAGTCTCCTTTATATGAAGTGTTGACTTCGTGATAACAGTTGAAGGACTGTGTCGTCAGAAGGCAGTTCAAGGCTTATGAGGCTGTGGTTACACCAAGTTCCATGGCAGTCTGGTTATTAATCAATCAGAATATTGTTTTCCACTGCTGGGATTCTTCTGGCATTTGTGGATTTGGATTATGCATGGTAGAACAGACCCAGATGTTCTTCTTACAATCACTGCCATGGCTAAGTGAAAATGAAGGTTTGACTAGGCAGGACTGTTACTGTGACAATCATTACAATGGTACCCAGTGTGCCTTAGGAGATACAGGTGTAAACAGTTGTCATGAGCTTATTCCTTTTTCAGAGCCTGATGGAAAAATGTGCTTCTCAGCTAAAGAAATGCAGTGGGAATGATAGTCATTCAAGCAGTCTTCAGACTGAGCTACACATATTTAATTTAAACACACAACATTTCAAGAGTTAGTAGTCCTTCTGACAAGAAATAACTTTAAAGGATAGTGATGTTAGTAACGGGGGTTTTACAATAATTTTCCTTTAACATTCGAGTGAAAAAAAGTTGATTTGAAAAAAAGTCGTTGAATCATTGTTTGGAACATTAGGTCCTTTTACAATGTTTTACTCTGAACAGACAGTTAATTATCATTCCCCCTGAGGGCAGGCAGAAAGAATGAGCTGGAGTTTAACTCACACCCTCCCTCCTTGCTTTGTTAGATCTGAAGAGAGACTTGCCAACTATCTAAGTTTCACTTTTCAGATAAAATGGCACTACTGGACTATGAACCAATCCTAGTTCTGTTTTTATTGTTTTTGATTGATTGGTTGTTTAGTTAGTTGGTTGATTAACTTTTCTCTTCTCACTGCTTGCATTTTTACATGTCTTTTTTTTTTTTTTAATTTTTTTTTTTATCCTCACCCGAAGACATTTTTTTGATATTTTTTTGTTCAGATAGAGTGAGAGGGAGAGAGAGAAACATCGACGTGAAAGCGACACATCGAGTGGTTGCCACCCACATGACCCAACCAGGGCCGGGGACAAACTGCAACCAAAGTACGTGCCCTTAGCGGGAACCGAACCCGGGTCTCTCCAGACCGCAGGCCGACGCTCTAACCGCTGAGCCAAACCGGCCAGGGCTACATATGTCTTAATTGCAAAATTATTAGCACAGATGAATGTAGGGTAATTTGAAATGACTTACGTTCCTTGCTTTTATAACAGTAATGCTTTATTTTTATTTTTGTTTCCATTGGAATAGAAATTTAATTTCATTTTTAATTTTCTTTTAGAGCCCTCCTTTTAACTGGTTACTATAGGTAACTGGATATAACATAAAGAATGTTTGATTTATAACCCAGTACTCTTAGGGTTAGAAGGACCCTCGGTATTAGCTGGAGTCCTGCATTTTGCACATGAGGAATCAGACCCTGGAGAAGGAAAATGACTTACCTAGGGCTCTGCAGCTTCTTAGTGGCAGATCTACATGCAGAATTCGGGTCTCTTGCCTTGCTCAATAGCTCTTTTTCTTCTATATTAATACCTTTTTTTTTCTATTCCCTTATATAATGGCATTGAGCAGATACTAACAACAAACCTTTAGCGTGGACTCTCCTACTTTCTGGTTGATGAGTTCCAGTGCTTGACAGTGCTTTTGACAATATAATTTATCCTGTGACTGCACAGATGACATCCCGTGAATACTGCATGAAGCCTTCACAAACTCATCCCTGAGAAGATTGTTAGTTTCTGTGGATCCACAACTCCCATAGGCCTCATTTGAAATATATCTGAAAATCTCATTCTTACTCTTAAAGATAAATGCCAGATAGGGTGCCACAGTTATATTTGTTAATTATAGTGTCAATGTGATCTTTTTTCTTCTTCTTCTTTCAACAGTGTGCTCATCTATTTATCCTGTTTTGCTATTGTAGGTTTGTGTGCTGGAGAGGCAAATATTTGACTTCCTTGGATATCAGTGGGCACCTATCCTGGCAAATTTTGTACATATTATTATCGTCATTCTTGGTTTATTTGGAACTATTCAATATAGACCTCGTTACATAAAAGGAGTAAGTACCCTTCCTGCCTTTTAAAAATGTTATTGGAATAGAGAAAGATATGAAAATGTCTTTAAAATGTATATGTATTCCCTCTCCTTAAAGTACCATGTGTTTGTTTTCACAGTTTCAAGTTACATCTACAATAACTAAAAATATCAAGTTTTAACACACTTGATGGTGAATGTAATCAAATTTTTTCATCAAATTTTCTTTCGTAATTCAAAGCAGAACTATGACCCTGTGTTTCTAAATTATAAAGTCATAATCTCTGATTGAATATATTTAATAAGGATTTTTCCCATTTTAAATAATAATATTTTAGTTGACTAAAGATAGCTTAAAATTAATACAAATGAACTTATAGTTTCAGTGTGAAAATATTAGTACACATTGGGGTTAATATTTGATGTACTTGAAAGCCAGAAGAGTCTGGACCAATATTTCTACATTCTCCATGATTTTCTTTTGGGCTCAGAGAAAGTATTCTGCATTCCTATTCAAGTTAAACTTACTTAACATAAAAGTGAAATCCAACTGTGCTACAGTTGCTATGGGAACCATAACTTAGGGTTTTTACTTTTGTATGTGCCTCAGATCTCAGCTATAGCTCTTCATTAATGTGGTTTTTTCAGTCTCATCATTTTTTCTATTTCTTCTATTTCAACAAAGGAAAAGTCTATAGACATTTATTTAAAATTATAAAGCAAGTTTGTGGTAAAGGCGTATGGAGAAGATAGCACAGGCAAAGCTCTGCCTTACTCAGCACAAACCAGCAGGTGGTCGTGGGTTCCAGGAAATCCTCCCTCACATAAAGGATGCCTCCTATGACCTATTGTTTGTCATCTAGAACCACATAATGCTCCTTGGTTCAGAAACAGGCAATATGATAGCAGCTGAGACCCAGGGATTCACTGTCTGGCTAAGGATGAGTGAAAAGTTCAGTCTTCTCCTCTAAGTGCATTCCCAGAAATGAGTGCATGTCACATCCAAGGGTGTGTAGCCATGTAAATCTTGTAAAGAGATGGATGTGTTCTGTAGCATAGTGAAGTTTTTCAGTGCACAGGACATTGATGATATGGTTCATTTTTTATATAAATTGTAATTTGATTCAATATAGACACCATATTATGAGGTTTGGAAGTGAGTCATCTAAAGTCATGATACCTGTGTTGAAATCTGGCATCTGCCAGACGCTGTGTGACTTTAATATATATTTTTTTAATTTGAGAGGGGAGAAAATGGGGAGAGAGAGAGATACATTGATTTGTTGTTCTACTTATTTATGCATGCATTGGTTGATTCTTGCAGGTGCTCTGATCTTGGATCAAACCCACAAATTTAGCATAACAGGACGATGCTCTAACCAACTGAGCCAAACTCTGTGTGATGTTAGACAGCATAACCTCCCTGATCCTCAGTGTTCCTATCTTTAAAATGAAAGCAATAATTATATTAAATCATATGCTTTAATAAATTGATAATAAATTTGATAAATTATGTGAAAAATTATTAATTTATCTTTTCTTTTAGTAATAAAAGACTTTGAGGTTTCTCCATGATTTTAATCTTATAAATGATGCCTCTCTGATCATCATACAGATAGATATGTCATCTCCATTTCTGATGAGTTTCTTGGGATAACAATCTAGATGTGGATCAAAAATGTTAGTACAGTTTAAAGACATAGAGATTTGTTTTGAGGAATAAATGAAATATTCTATAAGATATTCTTAGCACAAAGCTTGGTGTTTAAAATTGGTCAATAAATATTAGCTATAATATTTTTTCCTTATTGTTATTATTTGAAAATAATGCTAAACTGTATAGCCTAGCAATAGGCTGGCAGGCAATTTAAAATAGAATAAGGTATTCCAAGCTGTTAGTCAAACGATTTCTGTCCCTTTTATTCCAAGATGCTACAACTCTTAAAAAAATTTACGTGATTTCTATGTATCAAATTATAATCCCATCCCTTTAGATAAAATACAAAACCACAAATCTTTTCAAGACAGGCTGCTCTCGCTAGCATGAAAGGTAAAATAGGATGCCATGGGACATCTTTAAGATTGTTAGAACTTTTGTATAGTTCAGAAAGTCTCTGAAGTCTTTCTGAGATCTTAACAATGTGTCTTAGAGCTACATGTTTGATTTGATCTTGACACGCAGACAGCATTCTGAATTTGATCTTTTCCTGGAGACATTGTCTTACTTGGAAACTCTTTTACCAGCTGGAAAGACTGTAAATGTGAAACCTGTATTTTCTGCATCAGCAAGTCCTGATTTGGAAAAATATTCTCTAAATCATACTTGCAAATTATTATTTTTTTGCTTATTTTTCTCTTAAATACCATGTTATATGTGGTTAAAAGGTGACAAGTAACACTGTCAATTGTTTGCTTGGAATCCCCCTTAGCCAGATCCGTAAGTGTATAGGTATATTGTCTGTCTTCCCAGCTACCGCAGGCTATAGTCAGGCTAATTGTCCTGACAATAATCGTCATGAGTCCTCTTGTCTCCAGCCCTCTAAAACAATGTCCTTACTGTTGTTCCTGTCCACGCCACTTGTCCCCTTGCTGCCCTTCTGGCCTCCACCTGCCAGCTTGTCTCAAACCTAATGCTGTGTGTTTGGGGTTTGTGTTACAGTACCACTCAAGTTTTAGTATCTATTGCAGTGAAATGTCTGTATAATAAACCACTTCTACATCATTAAGTCATGGAATCTGGTGGCTGTGCTGCCATGTTGAAAGTCAAAAGTGCATTCAGAAAAATAGATAACTTGCCATAAAAATGGAATTAATATTTTTTAGTTTCTCTAAATATGACAAAAAATACAATGAAAAGAAATTTGAATGGCATCAGAGATGACAAAAATTGTGGTCAGTGAAGGCTCTTGGTTTAGCAGAAATGTATGCATAATTAGGGATATGATGCAGCTAACAATATTGTGTTTCTGGAGTTAAATTTCTCAGGCTCTCTGTGCAATTGAGACTTAGATATTAATGGTAACATTTATTTCTCTCTCCTCTAAATATGTAGGCATTTATGGTTTCTGTATTTGGCATTTATGTTTTGAATTATAAAACAATTTAGCATAAAAATAGAGATAAGCAAACACTTTGGTGATTTCACCATTCAAAATTATTATTAGTGTTTTAGCCTATTCTCTTTATTATATGCAAATGAAATATCTGATAGTTACATCTTCAAATATGCCTTATAGTCTTTATTAAACATTATATAAAATAATTTGAAGCTTATATGACCAAATAAATCATTGTTCATTTAACCCATTATACTGTTGTTATACATTATGCTATTTCCATGTTTTTATTATAAATAATTCCCTATTATCTCCATTAAAAAATTCTTATCTATATTTGCAATTTAATTTCTTGGGAGAAATTTCTAGGTATAATGAAATAATATGAAGGGTCTCAGTTTATACTTGACAATTACCTTTCCCCAATTATTGTACTGACTATGCCTCCCCAAGGTACAGTAGAGGCTGTTTCACTGCACTCTGGCTGACCCCAAATATTACCTATTCTCACTTTTCTTAAACTGATAGGAGAAAAAAAAAGTCGTTTAAAAAATTACATTTCTTATTTTAACTGAGTTGGACTTTTTATTTGTTTGTTAACTATTTTTATATCCTTTTGGAGGAATTATCTTTTGGTGTTTATTGTTCATTTTTTTCCTGGCATATTAGTTCATCTCTCTCTCTCTTTCACATAGTAAAGATATTTACTGTTTAAATGTTATAAATTTTCATTTTGATGTTTATTACTTTTCTCTTATTAAAATTAACTTTCTCTTTGTGATATCTTCTATTGCTTTAAACATTATAAAATGTATATATCATTTGAAAAGTGTAATGTTAGGCTTTATTATCTTTAGGTCTAAATTTACTGAAACAAAAAAGCAGAAGCCCTGAAATAGAGTCTAAGGAAATAGGTCCCTTTCCACATTTTCCGTTTGTAAAGTGTTCCATTTATTGATGGGACATTTTATTCTATTTAATTGAAAAAACATGTCAAAGAAAAGAAAAGCATGTTGATATTGTCTATAACACTGAACACGGTAGCAACAAATAAAGAATATTGGTATATTTAAGAGGAAAGAATAAAAAATTTTAAATTTAAAACAGTTAATTATGCCCTGTCCAGTTTGGCCCAGAGGTTTGAGCATCGGCCCTCAGACCAAAAAATTGTGGATTTGATTCTGATCAAGGGCATGTACCTCGGTTGCGGTTTGGTCGCCAGCCCTTGTCAAGGTCGTGTAGGAGGCAACTAATCAATGTGTCTCCATCACATTGATGTTTCTCTCCCTCTCTCTCTCTCTCTCCTTCCCTTTTGTCCACTCTATCGAAAAATATCCTTGGGTGAGGATTAAAATAAATAAATAAAATAGTTAATTAGAATAAGAACTCATTAGTATTCTTTGAGGGCCTCTGACTTTTGAGGAGTATATTATGTTGAAGGAAAATGAAATTGATTATTTCAATTCCAAGCAAAAGAAATGTGAAGCCAAAATTCATAGAAAGCATCTCTGTTGTATAATTCTCAACAGCATCAGTCCAAAAGAAAAAATTCCAATTAACACTGGTGGAATAATTCATAAATAAATACGTACTGTGGCTCCCATGAAAGCATTACCTTATGTCATAAATGGAATTGTTTAATGCATCTTCATTTGGCCCTAAGACAAGCAAAATGTGATTTGGGATATTCAGTGTTTATGAGTTAATGACAAGGCAATGTTACTGAGTTGCACTGCTTTAAATTTTCTAAAATAATCTGAGGACTGCATAGGTCTCTAACTGCTGAAGGCAGGGCAATATTCTTGGTGATATTGCCAAAGGGCATGTTGCCATAATACTCAAAAACATTTATTTTCCTTCCCTCCTTCCCTCCTTCTCTCCTTCCCTCCTTCCCTCGTTCCCTCATTCATTCCCTTTTTTCCTCCTTTTCTTTGCTTCTTTCTATTTAATGAAGTTACTTTGAAAGAAT